TTAGAACCAGAGGGCAACCAAATTTTTTATTTAAATTTGATATCAGTTCAAAGTATTATTGAAACATACATTAAGACGTCAATTTAAGTACACTTAAACATATAATATCTCTTAATTTAATTTTTTTTAATACTTACAAGTAGATTTCGTTAATAAAAATAATACTATAAGAAATGAGAATTACAACACATCCAATTATAGAGAATATTAGAGATAATAGTCACTAAATACTCAAACAAAAATAAAAAATAAAAATTAAACCCAATAATATGAAGAAAAAAATGAAACCTTTCATTGAAAATGACGACCAACAGTAAAAGAACCTAGTAACTTTAATAAAAACTCATGTCTTCATTGAATGAGATGTTTTAGGAAGTGATTAAAGGAGTGGTGAGCAAACCAAACTATCTGGCAGGTTACTTCACTATATAATTTTGATTATATCAGCAAACAACCTTTTACCAAAGAGGTGTTCTGACTATACATGACTACTGACAAACCAATCAGAAAATAAATATTGTGATAGTTTTTGTACGACCACCAAGACGATTGGAAAGGTATGCAAAAAATACCAAAATCCATAAGGATCGTGCAAAAAGAGCAGGGAAAACGTTTACCACAAGGATTTTTATTCAAAATAAAAAAATTCAACAAAAAAAGAAAATAAAGGATATAACATAAAAAAACTAATAATCACCAACAATCAGTAACCAAAATTAAAATTGATATTGTCGTCAGCTAAACAAAAATTAATGAAAAAGAGAATAGTGACACAAAAATATTAATGAAAGAACTAGGTTAAAAACTATTATTTATAATATAATATCTCTTAATTTATGAGTGGAAATAGGTTTGAGTAATTTAGACATTATATCAAAAAATAATTATGGAACACAAAGACTAAGAATATCAAATTAGAACATAAATATTAATCCAAAATATGAATATAAAAATATCAAATTAGAACATTTGATGGATTGTTCAAGAAATATAACATCTGTTTATGTTTGTTTATTAAATAAAAATTTATGTTCGTTTAATAAATGAACGAACATGAATAAATATGTGTTTGGTTCGTTTGTGTTCACAAACAAATTTATTTATTATTTCTTTATAATTTCATTTATTTACTCGTTTATTTAATAATGATATTTTCTTATAAAAATAATATTTTTACACTTAATTTGATCATCAATCTATTTAATTTTTAAATTATATTGTTACTAAAAAATTAAAAGTTTATCATATGATTAGCTTTGTGAAATGATTTTATATTTTAAATAGTGGTACTTCTATAAATTTATTTTTAATAAATATTTTTATACAACATTGGTGAATATATTGGTAATAATAATGTAATAAAACTTTGGGAAGATACATGTCATTGAAATGGAATTTTAGATTTATTATTATTAAATATTTTATAAAATATTTTTGAAAAAATAAAAATAATTTTCAAGGGGTCAAGCTTTTTTTAACAGTGGTGTCATTTTTATTTTTTTATATATTTTTTATATAGAAAAATATATTTTCTATACCTCATTACATAGTGGCTCCGCCCATGTTTGGGTGGTCATGTCTTTGTTAACGGTTATAATTTTAAGGGTAAACTACATTTAGTATCTAAATTATTAGTTTTATTTTATTTTAATATTTAAATTTTTATTTGTTTCAAAATTATATTTACTTTTTGTTTCATTTTAGTACTCGTCAGAACTACTACACGTGATATTTTTATGGATAAATTATATCATTCATTACTTAACTATTTTCTTACTTTTATTTTGGTCAATAAAGTTTAAAAAATTTCAATTTAACTACTCAACTTTCAAATTACTCATGTTTTAATCACTCTAATTTAGTTTATTAATAATTTTTAGACATGAAATTTTTTATTATATTATTATATAGTTAAAATAAAAAAAAATTGAAAGTTAGAGTGATTAAATTAGGAGTAATTTGAAATTTAAGTAATTCAATTAAAAAAATAAATTCTAATGACCAAAATTGAAGTGAGAAGATAGTTGAGTAATAAATGACGTGATTTACCCATAAAAAGTGTCATATTGTAACAACTCGGCTACATTTTTAAGGATACCAAAACGTAACAAAAAAAAGTTAGGTATGCTTTTGAAACAAATAAAAGTGTAGGAATTAAAACGAAACAAAATTGATAGTTTAGGTATTAAACATATAGTTTACCCATAATTTAATTATATAAATATTAGTTGAAAAATATTACACATTTTTTTCGTTTATAATAACTAAAAGTTTTCAATCTTGAATCTAATACTTGATTGCTAGGGTTTGATAGTGGAATTGTGTTGACCATGACCAAATAAATTTGAGGAAAAACCAAACATTGTTCAAATTTTCCATGTCTCCCATCCTTGTCTTAGGAAAATTTCTTAATGTTGATTAGATCTATTAATGAACGAACACTTTTATAGGGACCTCGATTCTGGAGTCCGAACAATCTACAGAAGTTATATGTTTTTCCTTCCTAATAATTATGAAGTCATTCTGAAAAATATATGGATCATCTAATGTGTTCCATGTATGTTATATGACTATTTTATCTATCATAGAAAACGATTTGTTATCTGGATGATTTATGAATATTTTAAGTAATTGATTTTTTTTATTTACTGGATAAACTATGGCTACCTGATATATGCTATGTGGTTACTTGTTTTACTGGAAAATGTAATATGTCTGATTTATGGATCATGGAACTACTGTTTACTACCTAAATTGTTTTATTAAGATATTTTTTGGGTAAGATTTGGAGTATGAAGGTTTAACTCTGATCAAACTGGTAAATCCTTACAGACCTAAGGTGACCCTTGGGTAGGCTCTTAGGCCTCGAGGTACTTCCTTGGGTAAACTCTAAGGCCCCAAGGAACTCCCTTAGGTAAATCATGATATTGTATTTTGGTGAACGGGTGGATGATAGATATGTGATTTAAATAAAATTCATTGTCACTTTTACGATATTCTACTAGCTTATGATTTTGATATTATAGTTTGTTGCTCAACCTAATTTTTTATTGGGATATCATCCAGGTGGGATTATGGAGTATAGAGGTTCAACTATGATTAAGTTGGTAAATACTTACGGACCTATGGTGACATTTGGGTAGGCTCTAAGGACTCGAGATGTTCATTTGGGTAGGCTCTGAGGCCCCAAGGTACTCCCTTGGGTAAGCTCTGAGGCCCCAAGGTATTCATTGGGTAGGCTCCGAGGCCCCAAGGTATTCCTTTAGGTTGGCTCCAGCGCCTAGGTTAAGTCCTTATTGATGCAGTTTTGAGAACTGCATATTGGTGTTCGAATAGAAGGTGTTACAATGATTTTAAAATTTTGTTTTATTATAATAAAATACTACTATTTCTAAGTTGTATTTACATTGATTTATGGTTTTGTGGGAAAACACTAGACATCCGTTTTCAATCTCCTGAATTTGTTCCTTTGAACGTTTCCTCTGAACTATAAGCTTCCTCATTATTATATGAAGAATTAATCAGTGAAACCTCAAATCATCACTATGACTTGTTTATGCCTAGGTAGCTAAGGGAATCTTCATGTTGCACCATATATCTACATGGCCTTTGCATCTTTTGGTTGTACTGTATTACTGAGCTTCCCAAAGCTCACTTTGTTACTTACTATTTCAGGTCAAAGGAATCAATCACACTCGATTATCGACAACAATATGGGAGTTCTTTTAGCGCTTCTTGAGAGTACGATACATGTGTAATTAGGGGCATATAGGTTACATTTGTGGCCTTTCATCTTTTGGTTGTACTATTACTGAGCTTCCAAAGCTCACTTTGTTACTTACTATTCAGTCAAAGGAATCAATCACACTCGATTATCGACAACAATATGGGAGTTCTTTTAGCGCTTCTTGAGGGTACGATACATGTGTAATTAGGGGCATATAGGTTACATTTGTTTAATATTGAGTATGTATCTTATTTTGACATGGGACACTATTGAATTCTATTTTAATATGTGAATGATTTTTCTGAAGTTTTGTTTTTATTTCTAAATTGTTTTACGGTTTGAAAAGGGTTAATAAAAGTTTTAATTTTTCCTAATTTTTATGACGGGTCACTCCGGTGGCCCTAATGTGACACTTCAGATCGGATTGGATTATCCGTATCAGTTTGAGGGGGTTACAGGGTTTGGTTCAAGTGGTAAGTAGCTTGATATTGTTAAAGCAAGAACTCAAGTTCGAGTCCTTGTGTAAAAAATCTTTGCTGGAAGATTCACCCACCAAAGCTAGGTGTGCGACGCGGGTTGGTCCGAATTAGTCAAGGCAAAACCTTGGAACTAGAGGGCAACCAAATTTTTTTTTGAATTGAATTTGATATCAGTTCAAAGTATTATTGAAACATACATTAAGACGCCAATTCAAGTACACTTAAACATATAATATCTCTTAATTTAATTTTTTAATACTTACAAGTAGATTTCGTTAATAAAAATAATACTATAAGCAATGAGAATTACAACACATCCAAATATAGAGAATATTAGAGATAATTGTCACTAAATACTCATACAAAAATAAAAATATTAAACCCAATAATATGAAAAAAAAATTTAAACCTTCTGTTAAGAATGACGATCAACAGTAAAAGAACCTAGTAACCTTAATAAAAACTCATGTCTTCATCGAATGATATGTTTTACGAAGTGATTAAAGGAGTGGTGAGCAAATCAAACTATATGGCAGGTTACTTCACTACATAATTTTGATTATATTAACAAACAACTTTTTACCAAAGAGTTGTTCTGGCTATACATGACTACCGATAAACCAATCAAAAATTAAATATTGTGATAATTTTTGTACGAGCACCAAGATGACTGCAAAGGTATGCAAAAAATACCAAAAACCATAAGGATCATGTAAAAAAGCAGAGAAAACGTTTGCCACAAGAATTCTTATTCAAAATAAAAAAAATCAATAAAAAAGAATAAATGATATAACATAAAAAAAACTAAGAGAACTAATAATCACCAGTATTCAATAACCAAAATTAAAATTGATATTGTCGTCTAAACAAAAATTAACGATAAAGAGAAAAGTGACATAACAATATTAATGAAAGAACTAGGTTAAAAAGGGAAAGTCAAAACTATCGTTTATAATATAATATATCGTAATTTACAAGTGGAAAGAGGTTTGAGTAATTTAGACATTATATAAAAAAATAATTATGGAACACAAAGACTAAAAATATCAAATTAGAACGTAAATATTAATCCAAAATATGAATATAAAAATATCAAATCAGAACATTTGATGGATTGTTGATAAAACATTACATTCGTTTATGTTTGTTTATTAAATAAAAATTTATGTTAGTTTAATAAATGAACGAACATAAATAAATATGTGTTTGGTTTATTGTGTTCACAAATAAATTTATTTACTATTTTAGATTTATTATTATTAAATATTTTATAAAATTATTTTGAAAAAATAAAAATAATTTTTAAGGGGGTCAAGCTTTTTTTAACAGTGATGTCATTTTTATTGTTTTATATATTTTTATATAGAAAATATATTTTCTATACCTCATTACATAGTGGCTCCGCCCATTTTTGTGTGGTCATGCCTTTGTGAACAGTTATAATTTTAAGAGTAAACTACAATTAGTATCTAAATTATTTATTTTATTTTAGTATTTAAATTTTTATTTGTTTTAAAATTATACCTAACGTTTATTTTTTTGTTTTATTTTAGTATTCGTAGAACTATTACACGTGACATTTTTATGGATAAATTATATCATTCATCACTTAACTATTTTCTTACTTTTATTTCGGTTACTAAAGTTTAAAAAATTTCAATTTAACTACTCCACTTTCAAATTACTCATGTTTTAATCACTCTAATTTAGTTTATTAATAATTTTTGAGACATGATATTTTTTATTATCATATTAATATATAGTTAAAATAAAAAAGATTGAAAGTTAGAGTGATTAAATTAGAAGTAATATGAAAATTAAGTAATTAAATTAAAAAAATTAAATTCTAATGACCAAAATTGAAGTGAGAAGATAGTTGAGTGATAAATAAAAGTGATTTACACATAAAAAAGTATCGTATTGTAACAGCTCGGCTACATTTTTAACGATTCCAAAACATAACAAAAAAAACGTTAGGTATGCTTTTGAAACAAATAAAAGTGTAAGAATTAAAACGAAAAAAATTTAATAGTTTAGGTATTAAACATGTAGTTTACCCATAATTTAATTATATAAATATTAGTTGAAAAATATTACATTTTTTTTCGTTTATAATAACTAAAAGTTTTCAATATTGTATCTAATACTTGATTGCTAGGGTTTGATAGTGGAATTGTGTTGACCATGACCAAATAAATTTGAGGAAAAACCAAACATTATTCAAAATTTCCATGTCTCCCATCCTTGTCTTAGGAAAATTTCTTGAAAACTTCATATTATTTTACATGCCAATTAAGACTAAACCAAATCCTTAATTACAAATCAATTGCTGTGATTTCCAGTATCACTTGGAGAAGTTGAAGCACTCTTGGGAGTTGAAAATGGCAAAGCATTAGGTTGTAGAAATATTGAACTCCCAGGCTGCGAACCACTGGAAGTCGATTTGTTGAAGAAGCTCGACCCACATCCATTTCCATTCACTGCAAATGATTGCTCTCCCCATTTCAACTTTTGTGCCAAACTCTCCGCCGCACCACCACCGCTTCCACCATTATTTCCGGCGCCGATGATCGACGTGAGAGCCGCTGCCAATGCAGATTGGAAGTTCGGGTCTGTCGTGATCGCTTTGGTTGCTGCAGCGATAGTATCTGGTAATGGCGGTTGAGGATGACCTTGATGATTCTTTTGCATGAAAGATTGATAAATGTTATTCTCCACAGTCGACGGCGGTGCTCTTCCGTTAATGTTGAGAGCTCCGATATGGGATTTCATGTAGGGCTGTTGTTGAGTACTTCCGCCATAGGTGAAGAGCCCATTTCCCCATGACACGGTGTTGGATTCCGATGAACCGAAATTGAGACTCGTTGAAGTGTTGTATCTCGATGCCGTGGGGTAAGCCGAAGAGAATCTATTGAAAGGAAACGACGATGACGACGATGATGGTGTTGAAGTAAGGTCGAGAGTGATGGTAGGGTGGGAAGAGGCCGACGGTAGTGAAGTGTTGGGCAAGTAGAACTTCGATTTCGAGTTATCGGACAGGTAAACGTTGAGTCCATGAAGAGCAGGGTGGGAGGAAATCGATGATGGAACACTGGAGCCGGCCGAGGATGTCGAACCGGTCAATAGCATGGAAGCCGCCGCACAAGTGGTGGAAGCCATTGCGGTGGCCGACATTGGAAGTGGATGATTGTGAGTTCCTTCGTATGTTGTGATTAAGATGGACATGTCTTCGGCACATCTTTGAACCTGTTTTCTCACGGGGCAAGAAGGCGCAACTGTGCAACGATAATACGCTCTAGGACAAGGATTTCCTTTAGCAATCTTCTGTCCATATTTCCTCCATTGACATCCATCATTCATCTATAATCATAAAGGACCTTGTTATAAACATGAATAACACGTGCAAAAAATGTGAACAGTTGCGTGCGTCTACGGTATATATGCACGTACCGTGGGAGTATCACATCTGGTTCTGACGCAAACCCTAGCTTTCTTGGCAGGGTTTTGCTGCAAGACTTCATCGTCTCCTCCACTTTCGGTTGTCTTGACAACTTTTCTCGGCGGCCATGTTTCTTCTTCCTTGTGTTCTTGAGAACTGTTCACGGGGCTCGGATTCGGCAACGGTTCATCGTCTACCTCGGACTTAGAAGCTTCGAATTTGTAATCCAAAGCAAGAGATAAACCTTCACTGCCTCTGATCTCCTCCTCTTTTCGATGGCTGCTGCTGCCAGATGCTTTGCCCTTATCTTCCCTTTTCGAGTCACTGGAAAATCTTCCGAGTGTAAGGGAAACAAGCTCGGATTCTTGTTTTTCTTTTTCTTTTTCTTTTTCTTCTTCTTCTTCGATCTGTTGTACTACTTGGTGTTCATCGTTTGGTGGTGCTTGAGATCTCTTTGAATCTTGTCCAACGATGTCGTAGAATTGCATTTGTAGCTTCTGGTAATCCTTCGTTATCCGATTTAGGTACATCTTTAGCCTTTTGTTTTCTTCTTTCACCTCTCCCATCTCAGCCTTGGCTGATTCAAGTTCATCATCCTATTTCCATACACAAAATATTCATTGATTATCTAATTTAAGATGGATATACATACCTATGTGAGTTAGGATCTTATACGCTGTAAAAAAGGTTTGGGTAAATTATACATTTAGTACCTAAACTATCAGTTTTGGTCCGTTTTGTTACCTAAACTTTCAATTTTTTTAAACTATACCTAAAATTTAGTTTTTGTTTCATTTTAGTACCCGTTCAAAATTTAACATTAAGTTTTGAAAAAAATTGAAAGTTTGGGTACTAAAACGGACCAAAACTTATAATTTAGTTACTAAACGCATTAAGTTTTAATGGAGTATACTAAAATGAAACAAAAAAATAAACTTTATCTATGATTTTGAAAATTTTGAAAGATTAGGTACTAAAACGGACCAAAACTGATAGTTTAGGTACTAAATACGTAGTTTAACAAAAAAACTTTAGTTTTACACATATTTAGGATCATTTGACGAGTGAAAATAAAAGATTAAGATTAATTCCTTTTTTCGGTGAATATATTCTCATTTACTACTGTTAATCTCAGTTATCTATTTTCACTCATCCAACGATGCTAAATTTATATAAAATTAAAAAAATTACACTGTATAATTAGATCTTATATCTATATATAGCTAAATGATATTGTATAATTTGAGATTAATCTAACCTGCTCCTTTCGACTGGAAGAAGATGCCATGGAGTGCTCGGCTTCTGCTCTTACAGTATTCGATTTTACAGAAACCTGTTTAGTTTTGCACAATATGTTGAGTTAACATAACATGTTTCTTATACATATAAGAATTCAAAGCTTGAAGTCTAGACGGAAAATATGAATTAGAAAAGTAATGGTGAGAATAACGGATGGGTGATGACTTCAAGTCCAGCATCTAGACGAATAAGATATGTAAGTATGGTCAAAACCTTAGAAAATCAAGGGATTAACGAAAATTAAAAATGTTGAAAAATAAATATACGAGGTTTGATTGATTGTCAATGTTTGTTGGGGCTGTCGAATTTGTCTTCCATGTTGCCAACTTGGAATGTTGCCCTTATTTTCTTTCTTTCACCACTAGTTGATGCATTAGTCCAATATCTCGATGATTGTCAATGTTTGTGGGGCGTCGAAATTTCCATGTTGCCAACTTGGAATGTTGCCCTTATTTTCTTTCTTTCACCACTAGTTGATGCATTAGTCCAATATCTCTCTTTCTTGTGCAATTGATGGAAACCCAATCATTCATGTATATCCTGATTGGCTATAAGGGTGTAGGCTAGATTTTATGTTATGAGTAAATTTATAATATTTTAGAAACGATAAATTTTTGAGATTTTTGAAAAATAAAAAATATCTAAAATATTTGAGAAATCAAAATTTTTAAAAATTATGTATACTTGATCATTACAAAAGTTGCTAATTCAGGGTAAATTACTTCAAATATTATTGACTTGTTTATACCACCAATGTTTTAATTTTTTGAATTTTAGCTCTAATGTTTACTTTTAAATGTAATTATGTCACTCCACCGTTAATAGTTTAACGGGATGATGATATGACAATGGCATACAGTGACGTTACTCACGTGATTGTCTCATCTAAATGACGTCATTTTGGTGTTACTGTTTTAGTGCTCAAAAAACCGATAATGATATCGTTTTACTTTAACCTTAATTTTCTATGGACTAAACTCAAATTTTCCAATTATATATTCTTGTCATCTTCCTCCTCGTCTTCATCTGCATATCCAGGCACCATAGCTCCGACCGTTTCTTCCATAAAACGAAACCACCCACCTCTCCATCGTTGTGCCTCAAGTTCCTCTCTTTAACGATCTGGTTGTTCACATGACTGACTGATTTCGAAGTACCAATCCCAGAAGAAATGTTTTTTTTTTGTTATGCATACAAGGAAAATTACGGATTTTCAGCTCTTCTCAAAATTCTTGTCATGGTTAACTTGCGGCAAATAAAGATCTTTAGTGTTTATAATTAATCGTCTAAATTTGTTGTTTGCACTGACCTGCTAGTGATGTGGCTATTTCAGGACTGGGTTGGATTACCATTGGACAGAAACGCAAGTCTTTTAGAGTATCTGAATGTAATTTTGCAGGAACAATCAAAGAATTGCAATTTGCAGTCCATGCTGCATACACAAGAAACTGAGAACACGAAACGGGAGCTTGTTTGTTCCAGAATTTTCGAATGTAGAAATTTCGGCAACTTATATCACCATTTAGTGTTGATAAAAGCAGAATATTTACTTATTGTTTCTTTTGGAGAAATGCTGATCGGGTTGGATTGATAACGTGAAAGTGGCCGGTTTATGGCAGAAACGGCCGGAGCCATGGTGTCTGGATATGCAGACGAAGATGAGGAGGGAGGAGATAAAAATATATAATTGGAAAATTTGAGTTTAGTCCCTAGGAAAATTAGAGTTCAAGCAAGCAAAACAACGTCATTTTGGGTCTTTTGAGCACTAAAACAGTAACGTCAAAACGATGACGTTTAGATGAGGCATAGATGAGGCATAGATGAGGCAATCAGGTCAGCAACATCATGGCATGTCGTTGCCGTGTCATCATCCCGTTAAACCATTATTTTGGGTCTTTTGAACTTATAAAATTTTACTTGGTGAATTTAAATTTATAAAATTTCAAGAATAAAAATAAATTTTTAATAGAAATATAAAGATAAAATCTAAATATAAGATAATTTTAAAATTCTATCATATATATATATAGTAAATAAGAGTCCGTTGTTCATATTTAGGGGTTTTCTTATATAAAGAATAATCCTTCTTCGTATTTAAGGTGAAATAGATTATTGAGTTAATATACTTGATCGGTTAATCAATATGTTTATCTTTATTCACTCATATTTTCTTAAACACTAATCAAAATTGCAAAACAACCAGCAAAATTATTTATTAAATGCCTCTAATGACTAATTATATATATATAAAGTTCCTTTGTCAAAAAAAATATTTATATGTAAAGTTGGGGTTTACCTCGTTGTTGCCGCTGCTTAAATTCTTTTTCCCTGGGGAAGACGGCTTCATATCATCATTTTCACAGTATGGTCGTTTATCTCCTACCTGATCAAAATTAATAACACAAAATTTAATCTTTTCCTTCTTTTTTTCAAACCAAAATATTTTATTTATCCAAACAAGGAGCATAACAGAACTGCTAAAGAAAACCATATATATCAGCCATTAAAACATAGAAAAAAGCTGTATTTTTTCACCTTGGGAAGAACAACAGCAGCAGCAGATTCTTCTTCACCAGAAGAAGAAGATATAAAACAACGACTTCATAAATCATGTTACATGCACAAAACAAATAAAATGTCAACAAAATCCAATCCACTTGTATTAAATAAAAAGAAGAGTAGAATGGAAATAGGAAATAATTAAATGAAGTTCAACTCTTTTTAGATAACATGTTAAGGGCAGAGGAGAACAAAGAAAGAGGAGCTGGAGCCGCAATACACGGTCCCCACCTAATGTCAAACAATGCTAGCATTCGTTGAACTTTCTTACTTTTTCATTACAAAATGTCAGATGTGCGGAGAAGCGACCGAAGTAAGATTTAAGGTTAGGGGATAAATTTAAATTTATAAAACATTAGAGAATAAATTTGAATTTATGAAATTTTAATAGATGAAAATAAAATTTTAATAAAAATATATAAAAAATTTAAAATATATAATAATTTTAGATTTTTAAGATGTCGTCGGCTCCCACCCACTTCCTAGAACCATCCATGTACATGGGGCTTTTGGATTGTTTCCATGGTCAAACTTTTTTATCACAACCCTTCTCTTTTTGGTTACCTACGAAAGACCCCAGTACATCCTAATTAAATAGGACCATCCATGTAGCACTTAAGACATACTTGCACCGGTGTAAGTACGTACATCTCCCAAAATCTTAGTACCTAACAATAAACATATAATTATATTGGTGTAAGTATGTTTCTATATTTTCAAAGAAAAAAAATTTTTAAAAAAATAATAAAAAATATATATTAAGTTATTTGTATACAAATTTTATTATATATATATATAAATTATAAATAATAGAAACTTATATCAAGTTATTTGTGTAAAAATATAATAAATTAAAATATAATTATAAATTTAATTTATTAACGGTTAGCTGTTGGTTAACCGTTTATCAAAATTCCTAACCATAACCTTAATCGTTAACCATCATTTTTAACAGTTCAGTTAACCGAAATCGTTTAGTATTAACTGTTCGGTTAATTAACTTATTAAATATAACAATTATACTTGTTAACGATTTCAGATTTTTTTTAACACCCCTAGGATTGATGTCAAACATGGTATAAAATAAGCAGTATTTGATTCTTCTTTGCTGTTGTTGAGGGTCGAAAAAGAAAGAAATTAAATATGTGATTCATGGATAGTCGCTTGAACTTTTAACCATTAAATATATTTTTAAAATAGTTTAATAATAATAAGATCAACATTTAAATTATCTATAATTTTTTTAAAATCTTTAAATTAAAAGTAATTATGTTCGATTATATTTTAATTCACAACTTCCTAAAAAATTAATCAAAATAAGGCTTATTGTTATTATCCGTGGTGAATCCGAAAAATTTTAAGGTATACATGCACTAATAACATAAAAGTTTTATATTAGAGGGACACAAATAAATTTTTAGAGTCGACATAGTCAATAAAATAAATAACTAATCGAAAAAAATTTAGATTTTAGGGTAGATACGTACACAATCTGAACTAAGGGTAGATCCATTATTGATTATTATTAGGATCAAGTACACAAATGGTCCCTGACTATATGACACTACTTTGTTGAGTTCATTGACTATTTAAAGTTACAAAATGATCGTCCAACTATAGGATGTCACTTTGTTGAGTTTATCTACTATTAAAAGTTACAAAATGATCACCCAACTATAGAATGTCACTTTGTTGAGTCATTCGACTATTAAAAGTTACAAAATAGTCAATGACTATTTATTATATTTCAAACTCATCCTTTTCCGTTAAGAAATTAACGACAGTCTAAGCTGAATGTTAATATATTGTCTAAGATATGATAGTCTTTTGAGATTTTAAGATCAAATTTTATCATATCTCAGACAACATATTAACATACATCTCAGATTGCTATCAAATTTTTAATAGAAAATAACGAATTCGTAACATAATGAATAGTCGGGTGATTATTTTGAAACTTTTAATAATCAAGAGACTTAACAAAGTAACATTTTATAGTCAAATGACCATTTTATAACTTTTGATAATAGACTCAACAAATCAACACCGTATAACCATGACCATTTGCATACTTTATTATTATTATTTGTACTACATAATTTCACAAGAATTATCATCTCGCATTTAATAAATTGGGAATGAAATTTTTGTTTTACTGAGATTAATAAATCTATAAATAATTATATACGGGTTTTATACGAAAATATAGTTAGCTTCAGTAATAAAAGATATTGTCGTTCTCGTTAAAAGATCTGAAGTTGAACAGTTGCGTTTGTAAGATGTGTTGCATTTATAAGATATGTATATATTATCAATAAATAAAAAAAATTATGATCAAATACTATATTATAATCACCTCACACTATTAAAAAGAATATATTACTATATTATATAGAAAGTGAGGAAGTTAAAATTAATATCCACATATCCCTATGTAATAAAAAAATATTATCCAAACGAGAGAAATGACTCTTCTTTCCTTTGATTTAGTTAGCTTTCCTTTTTTAATAATCTAATCCAAGTATATTGTAAATGGATAGAGAAATTAGAGGTATGAGTTTGGTAGCTAGTATTTGACGGTAGAGTGTGAATTCGAGAAAGAAAACAACGGCATTGACATAAACTAAGTTCAATTTCTCACTCGACTTTATTCTTTCTTAAATTTTGTTTATTGTACTTTTAATTTTTTTAATTTATTCACTGAATTTTTAAATTATTTATGATTTGATCACTATGAATTATTTTATTATTATTTTCATATGACGTGACATTTTTATTATTATTTAATAGAAAAAGAATTTTATTATTATTTTTGATATTGATGGTGGGCGATGATTATTTAAAATCTTTTTAAATTTAATAATAATAAAGTATTCCAAAGTGATCAAAACAGAATAATTTGAAAGTTAAGTGAATAAATTAAAAAAATTAAAAGTATAATAAATAAAATATGAAAGAGAATAAAGCTAAATAAGTAATGATGTAATTTGCTCATTAAAAAAACTTGTCCGATAACTTTACAATGATCATTTCAACCTTGGTTTCTGCAATGGTGCATCGGTTTTTGAAAAAATGTTTTGACATTTGCCAAAAATTAAATATCCTTTACATGGAAATTACATTTCACGCCTTTAATTCATTAACTCTATAAATTATAAAATGAAATAGTATATATGTTAATCTTGTTAACCTTATTTAAAATCATATAGTGTAATTATATTATTTTTATGTTTATTAACATTATTCTCTCTAAAGGTATTCAGTTGAAATAGTTATATACGTTTGCAAGTACATGTTTGTCTATAAATTAAAAAATTTAAATAAATATTACTTTACAATCACCTAAACTATTAAAAAAATATAGATACAGTAAATTAAATTTTCCCATTCAAGCTCTATAATAGTTTAAATTAAAGGAAATAGATGTATATATTATAGCAATATATTAAAGTAATTAGTTTATCGAGAATTTTAAGTAAAATGACATTTACATTACCCTTATTCAGACTTTAAATTCATTTTCTATTCTACCTATGATTAGAAATAAAGTAAAAAGTAAACAGCCTTAACTCATACGCGTGTTAGTGCAATTTAAAACATTTTAAAGTTCTTTGATTTGATAGCTGTTTATTAATTAATGATCATAGATCCGTTTGAGGCTTTGCATAATTAATGTGATTCCAAGTTGTGTATAAATATGTACACGCCATAATATATATCAATTATTAAACTCCCGAAGCTACAACTATATGACCAATTCCGAAGCTACACGTACTTGAAACAAAAGAGTTATAATTTTAATCCCATGGGATCAATATAAAATCTTACGTTCATTCATGAATAAAATGATTGGTTCGAGAAAACGGTCAACTATAGTGAAATTGAGACATATACGATTCATGTTCTTACAAGAAAATTTTATGTAACGAAGGAAAGTTTGACGGAGCAATTATCGTGTGAAGAACTGTTGTTAGCAGCCTTTTGCGTCCATATTCTTACAAGTTTAGGAGTTCTTTTCAAGTTTCAACGTTTCTTGTTGGGTCAAATTCAACTTCATGAAAACTTCCAAATTTAATACATTATGATAATAATATTTTTCACCAGATAAAGATATTTTGGAGTGGATGGATCATGAGACAAATTTAGAACTATTAATAACTAGGATGGTGCTCGTATGTGCATATGCAAGCATATAATAGTCCACATGTATAATTAAACTATTTACATACATAGAAGGAAGAGGGATATTAGGAGATGCATGTATATGGAACAGGTCATACAAAAAATCACCCAATAGCCCACATGTATAATTAAACTATTTTCATACATAAAGGAAGAGGGATGTGAATTAAATAATTTATAGTTAAGGATAAATAGAGGGAATCAGTGAGGATGGACCGGCGTCGAAAAAATCAATTCTTTACATAATTTTATTATTTCCTTTATATTTTCCATTAATATTCTATTTTTGCTTCTGCTAGAATTTTATAAGTTTATCTTAAACATAAAATATCGCTTACGTCCATATATACGAATCACTTTGGTTTAGTTGAAAGTTTGAACAACCTTAGGTCAATGCTTTGTTCTTTATTATTGCTTGTGATTGTTTATAAGCTTTACTTTATGTGTAACAAGTGGATTTTATTTTATTTTCCAAGTCAAATTACTTAGCTTACATAGTATATAATATGGCGTACGTAGGGGAATTATGTTTAATAAAATATACCGTTAGGGACTTGGTTTCCAAGCGGTCATACAAGCAATTTTAAACTATTGGGACATTGGAAAGTTGAACAATATAGGTATACTAGTCCTTTACGTTGGGCTGTATTTATACGTACGGAGGAGTAGTTCAACCATGTATTAAAAAACCCATACATTGAAACGTCGAGTATTTTGATTGGATAAAAATATTGTAATTTTGGGTAATACATGAAAAAAACCCTACGCGAATATAGAACATGAAAATATATTGTAATAAATTGCATCTCAAATTATTATTAATACATTTTAATTGAGTTTAATTCGATTGATATTATT